CTCGCTTTAGGAAAGGAGCGGCTGAAATAACAAGTGATGAACTGAACTGCAACCCCCATGCCATTCCCCCATGTCACTGAGGAGGAAGAGGTAGAGTCAGGAAGAAGGGAGGGGTAGGAGGAAGCTGTTTTAAGATCTGGCTTTGTTTCTTGATATCCTCTCTGAATTAACTGTTAACAAATTAAATTGATTTGTCCCCAAGCAAAACTGATTAGTCCTGAAGCCAAGTCTGTTTTGCCAAGGGCCATGCTTGGTGGGTGATCCCTCCCTGTTCTTATCTTGAGCCCCAGGCCTTTTTGTTACATTTCTCTCCTCTCCAACCTACTGAGAAGGAGGAGTGAGCAAGTGACCACATGGTAGCTTAGCTGTCGGTTGGGCTAAACCACGACAGGCACCAAAAGAAATGCAGTTTTTCATTCATGTCATTTTCATAATGGAAAACTAAAGGAAAATTAAAGATTCAAAGGTCTAAACGATCCAACAGCAAAGGAAATAAGCATGTATGCAAGAAGTATCTTCAGGTATACAAAATTATGCACTGTCACAGGAAAAAAGGCCGACAGTACCTCGTGCTGCATTAGAAAGTTGCCAGCAGGTCCTTCCTCTCTGCAAAGCACTGTTGAGACTGAATCATAGAACAGTTTGGGTTGGAAGGAACCTTTAAAGGTCATCTAGTCCAACCACCCCTGCAGTGAGCAGGGACAGGTTCAACTAGATCAGGTTGCTCAGAGCCCCACCCAACCTGACCTTGAATGTTTCCAGGAATGGGGCATCTACCATTAATATGGGCAACCTGTTCCAGTGTTTCACCACCCTCATTGTAAAAAATGTCTTCCTTATATCTAGTCTGCATCTACTCTTTTAGTCTAAATCCATTGCCCCTTGTCCCATCACTACAGGCCCTATTAAAAAGTCTGTCCCCATCTTTCTTACAAGCTCACTTTAAGTACTGAAAGGCCACAGGAAGATCTCCTCAGATCTCTCCAGGCTGAACAACCTGATCTCTCTCAGCCTGTCCTCATAGGAGACCTGTCCCATTCCTGTGATCATTTTTGTGAACCTTCACTGGATCTGCTTCAACAGGTCCATGTCTTTCCTGTGCTGGGCACCCCAGAGCTGGATGCAGTATTGCAGGTGGGGTCTCACGAGAGCAGAGGGGCAGAATCACCTCCCTCGACCTGCTGGCCACGCTTCTTTGGATGCAGCCCAGGATACAGTTGGCTTTCTGAGCTGTGAGCGCATATTGCCGGCTCATGTCCAGCTTTTCATTCACCAGTACCCCTAATACACAAGGAAGTGAAACGCCAAAGAATCATGCACTGCAACTCTGTAAAAACTGTCAGGGTAGGAAAAAAAGCACCATTCAATCTACAAGGCTCCAGTTAGCATATAATGTCTATAAGGACTATCAAATATATCACTGCCAAAAATCTTGTCTGAAATCCTCCAAAGCCCAGTAAGAAAGTGATCCAGTGATGCTCCAAAAAGCTAACAGGTTTATCTGATTTTCACCTTTCGACGAGTTACTCCTTTTCCTACAGTCCACTATTACATCAGGTAACAAAAATGTCCCACGTATTCCCTTGACCCAAAAGGCTGAATACAATCAATTTGTAGGCTACCTGTTAAAAGACTGAAATTATAAACTAATGTTTTACTATATACTCAAGTGAAGTAGTGTTCTGATTTTTCAGTTACTTCAACATTTAGCTGCAGGGGGAAGTTATCATCAGCTGACATGATCTAACTTCCTGAAGTGATCCAACACCACCTAAAAAGCTTAACTATGTGCATCTAAAATGAACATATCTCAGTACTGCTGACACGTTCAGACAAACTCGTATCCTAAGAGTTAAGGAGCAGTACCCTACCTTGAAATTGTTTTCTTTTGGTTTTCTTCTCATTATTATATTAAATGTCTCATAAACATCTTCTGCTCCATTTTGGATTGTATTGGTCATGTCTTGTTGATACTGGTTTGGGTCCAGAAATACTCTGTATGTTCTGCAGTCCCCTCTAAGTCTTGGTTTGGGTTCAGGTCCTGCCCATAGTGAAACAGTAAGATTAGAATTTGAAGTAGTGCTAAAAGCAGATTATCATTCAAATAAGTTGAATGATCTTATAATCATTCCTGAAATGAAATTTAGACAAATTCATATCATGAAAATAATTTCTGCATGGTATTACAAATATTCTATTTCATGTGTTCATCCTATTTCTAGTAAGAGTTCTTGAATACAAGCCATTTTATTCCTAAAACCAAAACGTCCTGGATTTATTTAATTAATCTAATTACACCATGTTTTACCAGAGGAAAACTAGTTAACCTTTCTCAGGCTGCTTATGGAATAGGTTTGTTCTTTCAAGTAGGTAATGAATTCAATTAGCATTGCTAAAAGGAGAAGCAAGTCAACAATTAGGCTGTTAACAAACAAACAAAATCTTTCACAAGAGTTTTGATATACCATACCTTCTTCAATAACACGTCCTTTCTCATCCAACATGCCCTGGATTTCACAGCCTCTGACATACACCAGGCCAGTTTGCTCAACAAAAGGTCGTCGTCGGTCAAACTTGGTGCCGTAAGGTTGTGTGGGACGTACCGTAATCAAAAAGCAGACATCATGCTTACGCAGACCTGATTCCAAAAAGGAACATTCAGTGATTCGATTGAATGTAATTTTCTTTTTCTGTTCTTTAATATATATATACACAATAGAATACCCAAAAAATTTTTTTAAATAAAACCCAGCCTGTTCAGAGAATAATGTATTCTGTTTCAAAATATGCCTTTAACTTAGAAGACACAGAATCATAGGATATTGATATATTTTCTTTTAATTTGCACACCAGTATCTGCTAGGACTTCAGATATGAAAAGAAGAAATTGACTTCTCTTTTCATGATAAGAAATGTATTTATTTCAAGATATTTCTTCTCCCATTAATCTTAGGTTACACCATCTAGATGTTTTTAGTTTTATCTCAAAAGTAGCGTGTCATTAATCTCTTATTCTCATTGCTTTTTTCTGGACCAGCCTCCAATTTTCTATTTACAACAATTTAAGTGCAGTGCCTAGAACTAGGCACTAAATCCTAAACAAAGTTACTTTAGTTATCTAATTAATAGGGTAAAAGACCACTTAACTAAGTTACTTGTCTTCCATGCTACGTTCCAGTTTATAAACACCAGTATGACCTGGTTGAGTGTTTTTTCTTTTTCCCTCAGCAGTAACATATTGTTGTGGAGTTACATTTACTTTTAAGCAATGATGACCTCGACTCTTTTCATTCTCCAGAGCTAGTGCCTAACAAGTTATTCCCTCAACATGCATTTGTGCAGCGACTTGTTCTTGCTTAAGTTTAGCATCTTAATGTTCATTCCTGTGGGACTACACTCTATTTTTAAAATGCAATTTCTTCAAGTCACTACTATAATTTTGAACACTAATCCTTTTCTTCAGTATACCTACAGATTCTCACAGATCTAAGACACCTTCAAAATTTAGTAAACACATGCTGTATTTTTCATATGAGTTTCCTCAAGACTCTGTTACATCAGGCAACAATTCAGCAATTCTTCATCTCAGTTTCGATTAAGTTAAAGCATTACTGCTTTTGAAATCAGAGACTGTTCTAGTATTTAACAAACTAGGTGCACCACTATATAGCTACCTTCAGTATAGTGAAGACTGTTGCCATCCTCCTAGCTTTCCTTCTTTAATAGAAATCTACATTCTCAAACCTGTATTTGCTTATTTATCACATGCTCCAGCTTTAGCATTTGTGCTACGTGACCTGTAATCACACTATGCAGCTCCTGCACATTTAACAGATTTGTCTAACAGAAAAGAAGAGAGTGACATTTACTGATAATCCAAGTACAAGTACATGCCTTCTATGTCACTTGCCAACACGGTCAACTAAAGTTCAATACCCCGAGCAAAAGAAGTGTCGCCTATGGACACTTACAGGAAACATATTTGGTGCAGTCAGCACTTCCTAACAACATTCAAACATACTGAAAACTACTAAAAACCACTGGTTTGAATTAAATCAAAACCTGTCCTCCCCACTTGTATATGAGACAGATATAACATTCCCCACTACTTTTGCAATATGACATTATTAGCATGCACATTAATTGAAAATGCTAAGTTACTTTTCCATATTCCCTGTAAAGGATAGAATTTTACAGTTACAAATTGAATGACATCAGTCTGAAATAATAAACATTCTGTTCCCAATGGATGTGTAAATACTTGAACAATTTCAATCTTCATTTTAGGAAAGTATAAACTTTTTCGACTTGAAATTTGAGTAACTGACTTTTAAACAGTGTATTAAGATTGGCAAAACTGTATCTTCAAACAAAACCCCCTTCTTACAAATAAGATTACATTAAAGTGTATTTGCACTTATTTTGAGCACTTTATTTCAAAGAATGTAAGTACCTTCCCATTCATCTTTGATGTTATCTCGGACATTCAAATTAATTGTAACATCTGCTCGTACTCTCATGGGCCAGTTTTCACCAATATTGGGCTTTGCCACCTCCACCACTGTGAAAGAGACAATGGGTTGTGCCATCCTAGCCCATCCACCAAAGACCACACCTCCATATTCTGACAACCTAAAAAAAAAAAAAACAAACCAACAAAAAAAACCCAAACACCAAAGTTTTGTTAGTCATTACGTGGCAAGAGATTCAGTTCTTTTTTAAACTTGAACCAATTTACCGCACAGCCAGCTCTAAGACAAAAGTAGAAGTCTTAATTTTACATGCTTCTAAAGTAGATTCACATAATCCTGCATTTTAGAACTGAAGCATAACATGAACTGACTTATTCTTATATTTCAAGAAACAATGGCAACTTATGCTGGCATTAAAAAAAAACCAAAACAACACCTCAGAGAGAGAAGAAAAACGGAAGATAATGAACCTACTAAGTATAAGAGGTATCACACCAAATTACCCCTTGAAATCGAAAGAGGATGAGAATGTGGCAGATAGTGAATTTAAGAATACCTAGTAACACCTTTCATGAACTAGAAGAGCTGCTGGTAAAGTTTCCAGATTTCATAATGTCAGCCAAGGCTTAGTACTTTTGAAAAACTAACTCATCTGTCTTAACACAACAAAGGCAGGTTGTTAGCATCCAACATACTGTCTTAACACATCTATAGGGATACATATCAACACACTCTTACAAAATCATTCCACGAGATGGCAACACCTCATGGAAGAAGTTAGTAAAAAACATAGTAGCTATGTAATAATTTAAAATACATTTTTTACTATGTATTTGTATATACATAATATCAATAACTCATTCTCAAATGCACTTTGATTACAACTGAAGTCGAACTGACTGATTTACATCAGTTAATAAATATTACCATGGTTTCATCCTACTGACACTATCTTCAATATCTTGTCTGATCTCATAGGTAGACTCTAAGCGGAAGAGATTGAAGTTCCTCAGAAGGTAGTCGTGAAGAGTCAGAAACTGTAGATTCAATTTGGGAAGCGCAAGGCAGCCTAAGGGGGTAAACGGTGGAAGGGAAGAGTTATTCAATGGATAAATAAAAAAAGATGAATTAATATACTGGTTCTACAAATTTATAAATACATACACACACCATTCTGTAACTGGCATAGCTGTTATCCTGGGAGATCCTAAGAACTATTCCTTTTGTAAATATACATCGCTAAAAAATACACATTTTTATTCCTCCTTCTGCCAAATTTTCAGGTTTTATCTAAATGAACTAGCACAATGATAAAGAAATTTTCATCCTTCTGGCAGTAATACAGTGAACTATTTAAAGACTGAATCCTTCCCTGTATTCAGACTACAACAAAGTTGATTTTATAAAAATCAAACATAGGGCAAAATAATGGTACTTTGGCAATTCAACAATTAAGCCACCATTAAATGATCATGAAAAAGGTTCATTAACTAATAAAAAAAAAATGCATTCTCCAAGAACCTGCCAATTCCAATCCTTTATGTTTACTAGAAGCCACAAAAACCATTAATGTAGAAAAAAGTTTTAAGCCAAGAAATCAAATTTTAATACACAACTTTCTTCACAAGTTTCTATATAGATTTTTTTTTTTTTTTAATGAGAATGAAATACATGGGAAGATTAGATCTAACTAAACAAGGAGCATTAAAACTTCTAGACAGGTCCTAAAGCTTGCAGAGCTTTAGATGAAAATTTTCCATAGTAAAAATTCTTACATTTTACCCATTTAACATTACTGGACTAACGTTCCAGTTTGCTTAACACCTGTGAAAGCACCGGGCTTTTGTAACTTGCAATATTGTCCTTGAAACCTTTCACTGGTATATGTAATAAGTATTGGCTTTCATACACACTGATATACAAGGGCAGTGAAGAAAAGCAACAGAACACAGTAATTTCCATTCTGGAAAGCCTCATGGTGATAAAATACTTTAGCACGTTTCCCAACACCAAGTAACAAACCCTGCACTGTAAAGTTAGCTACATGCACAAAGGGCAGGGCCTGAAGCAACATCTCTTTAAGGCTGCACAGCATTTACTAGACAAATATTCTTCTTCCCTCATTTTTTAAAAGAAAACAGAACCAACACTCACTTCTCTTTCTTGGGCTAAATTACTCTTATTTATGTTTCAGACCAAAAGAACACAGCTACTTTTAAGAACACGCAAAAAAAAAAAGACAACAAAAATAAAACTGTCTTGTTTGAAATCAGGGCTGGAGAATATAGGGAGATTAAAAAGAGAAACTGTAAACTGAAACTCAGAGAAGCAAAATAGAAAAATACTTGTAACAGTCTGACAGCAACAGAAATGCTTCACAACTGTGCTATCAATACACAGATAGTAATTGCAAAAGAGTTCACCACAGAAGGAGAAAATGTTTGCACTAGTAACCACTGTTACTTGCCAAAATTATATTTCACCATTAATAAAATTTCTTTCATGCATTATTAAAAATTCACAAAACAGTACAGAAACAGGTGTGATGAGCTGCTTTCTCTCTGTTCCCCTCACACCCCAAGCAATAACTCATATATTGTGAATATATTATGATAATAAAACACAAAACACGCATACAGTGCATGCACAAGTTCTGTAAAGTCAGCGTTCCAATACAGTCTGAATGACAGTAAAGCCGCCTTGACTTGTACTTAAAAATTTTAATGTTCCAGAGCATTAGAACAACCTACGTGTTGTTCACTGAAATAAAAAATAAAATTAAAAAAAATAATAATCTCGGTTCATATATTAATTTCCTAGAAAAATGCCGCAATCACTCTGTTTTGGGGTTATGTTTTATTTTGGGCTTTTTTGTTCTTTGGTTTTGGGGTTTGTTTTTCTTAAAGGATCAACTCCATCAGGAGACCTATTATTTAGAAGAATCTGAATCAGCTTTCAACTACTTGCATCATACCACGCATTGTATTTTAAAAGTACAAACGAGTAATTTATCTCGTCTTGGGCAGATCTCTAGAGGGCATTTATATCATATTTGCTTGAAAAAAATATCCTTTGCTGCCTATAACCCTGCCTTATACGGCAGCGTTTTGACCTAAAAGGGTCAAATGTCAAAAATTTCTTTCTTCTGATTAATACTTCTTTGCAGACAATTTATCCAAAAAAACTGATTTGTGCTAAGCAGCTGAACTTAAGGCTTACACCTACACAAAAAAAGCCTCGGAAACAAAATTACAGGGAGGAGGGTACAGAATACTCACTGCTGAAACCAGAAACATGCTTTAGACTGGTCTTTGTAGAGATAAGTTATTTGGAATTTCCATGTTCCAAATCAAAACTTTCACATTCCTAATGAAAATTCTCATGATCCACATTAAAATTTTCAGCATGAGATTTCAAAACGTACAACAGTTTTTTAAAGTAACTAGACAAAAATACACATGCTGTCTACTGCAAAGCCTAAAATTCCGTAATTCCTTGTTTGCAGTACCTGCCGTCTGCTTCCTTGATCATGAGCACCATGAGCGCATCGAGCAAGAACACAAGGTTCTACATTTAGAGTGCATACACTGCCTTTCAGTGACTATGCCTACACTTCTACCTTGGAATAAAAGAGTAAAATAATTAGTGTTAATTTCCTCCCATCACCACCCTTTTTTTCCCCCCGTTTTTCAAAAGGCTTTCTTGAACACACTTAAGAGAAAAGCACAGACAGCAGTTTTTCTGCTGCATGTTTACAACCTGTTTCACCTTACAGTAACTACCTGTGCCACAGCTGGTGGTGTAGCACATCTGTTACCCAGATTAGAAGCAAATAAACAATTCTGTGTAAACACAGGCCTTTGCATTTTTCTTTAAATTCACTATAAATTTGCTAACAATTTCATCTTAAGAGTTCCTAATTCACAACTCAAAAAAATCTGACCTTACTTTAGGACACTGGAAGAGGCCAAAGGACCAACTATAAGTTCCAAAGAGAGAATGAACTTAGACATCAGAACTGCTTTTTTTTTTTTCAGCGTTTACTGTCCTTTTCAGCATTTATTGAACTACTAATCATACCTTCTCCAGAATAATATTCAGTTGGTACAATATTTTCATCCCAAATAATCTTCTCAGTGGGATAAAGAGGCATCTGGTTGAGTTGTTGAATTTGAGATATTCGTCGCTCATGACGGGAAACCTAAAGAAAGGATGCGTTCTAAAATTCTTTAAGTCAAAAAGGTACAATAAAGCTATCTTTGGAACATACACATCAATCCATAAGACTGCTGGTGGTCACTTGCCATTTTCTCTCTTTTAATAAGTTCTGGTTTTGTTTTGCGTTTTTTTTTCTTAATTAAATATAACTAAATGCACACAGTGACATCAAAACACAGACAACCACATAGTCCAACTATCAGTCATAGTACTAGAGTCAAACAATCATCAGGCTACTCAGCAGACCAAAAATGGCACAACAGAACTGAAAACATTCAGTTAAGGCTTAGCAGCGAATGAACTTCAAATGAAACTTATTTTGCTTTCCATAAAACATACAGTCAATAGCTAACACTGCTCATTCAAGAGCAGCTAGTCTTAATTCCCTCTTTGAGAGAAAAAAAACCCCACCCAATACTACAATATGTCATCGGAATAAATATCTCTCCATGGCACCCATAAGCATATTACGACCACATAAACCTTAGAAAACTACATCAATGATTTTTAAAGATATCAACAACCACAAAATAAGCCTATGAAAAACACATAAAAAACTAGATATACCATTCTAATACTGGTATCAGATTAGAAACCTACAGTAATATCATTATACACTGAATAATGAAAAAAACACTATGTGCATCAAACAGTATTTCAAATGGGCTTGAGGAACCAAATGGGTACTGAATATTTAGATCTACTTTAGCAGATTTTTTGGTTTTAAAGGGAACAAACAGGTTACTACATTATGAGCAACAACTCTTCCAGAAGAGCTCAAAACTCTTGCCAAGACTCTGCTTATTGACATCTACAGTTATACTACACACACATATATACTAGTTTCTCAGGGAAACTACATTTATAAACAAATGTTTTCAAACACTTAAATGGTGTTAAATTCCACCTTAGCATGCAGTTTACTGCTACAACACTGCTGTGGTTCACAGGTGGTTCAGCAAAAGGTCTTAAATGGCTACTTTACTACAGCACAGCTGCTAGATTAAGCCATATCTTGAGTTTGCAATGAAAAGACACAAGCAATCTTATTTATGTTTTTACCAGCAACTCCAGCAGAAAAGCCTTCTCGTAGCTCGAGTCCTCCCCGTCGGGAAGGGGCGGCAGCAGGCAGAGGTATGACGCCACCTGGTGGAGAACATTTGAGCTGCACAGCAGAAGGAAAAAACAGAAGCTTGAGTCACACCGAAACCGTAGTATTTTAAGTGAAGTTTGAGAGATTGAAAATATTTATTTTTGAAACAGTTATAAAGTGCTCTAGAGCACTTCCATGGGTGAACTGTGTTCAGCCACAGGTGTAAGCGGAACCACTTATCTGCAATAAATATGGCGTGAATATTTTTTATTGTTCCAAGACATGTACCTGAAAACAGACTGCACATTGCCTTTGTCAAAATACAGACTATTATCCTTTTAATCACAGCATTTACAATGCAGTAAATACAGTGGTGTACTTTCACGATTTCTGTTATAGTTTTTGTACAGAACAGAGTAAAAAAAGCTAAGTTAAAAAAGTTAAGAGGTTAACTACTATAAGTTAATTACTGCTACAAATACTTTAAGCAGCTATCCATTTTCCAGAAAATTAGTACTTTCTCACATTCATTAGAAAAAAGGAAAATAAAGGTATTTTTCTTCTACTGGAATTCTAGTGCTTCTCTACTAGTGGACGCAAACTCTTCCTGTCTCCCTATTTCAGCAGATGTAAAGGCACCATAATAAGTCAGAAAGACCTGAAAAGGCACATGAAAAGTCAGAAAGAAAAAGGCTAGAAATTTGTTAAAATAAAACATACTGAGAACAAAGAACTTGAATTTCATGCCAAATTTCATTTGATAACTTACCTAAGGGGTTCAAATAACTTCACCAGTGAATCACGAGTATCTACTGCAGCTACGTTTGAGAGTGCAAAGTCATATAACTCTGGGAAATGTGCAAATGCTGCTCTCTACAAAAGACCCAAGCCCAAAAATGGAATTTAAGCATATTAATGAAACAATTTAATAATTAATTTAATCTAAGTATTTGTACAACAGTATAGCTGCTTCTGATTCATAATACATAGCACCCTGTGGACACTACCAGGACAGAAATAAAAAACAAGTGAAAACTCCATTTTTCTTCTTTAGTACCACCTATTTGTTACTCCTGTGCTTCCAAGGCAGTGTCTTTTTTAGACATCCTCCTATCAGCATTTGTTCTGTCATTAAAGTAAAACATAAGGGGGCAGACATCTAGCCTTACAGAAAACTAAAAAAAAAAAACAAGGACCAAGTTTAATTTAACCACGCTTCCTTGGATTTTGCTGTTAAAACTGACGGGAAAAATTCTGAAAAGTGTAACTATCTTTATATGGCTAAAAGTAACATGGCTTTTTCATTTGTCTCTTGCGTATAAGGGACCACCATTGTTACCATATCTGTGTACTGATCTTGAAGAAATGGTGCCACCTACTGCACCATCATAAGTTAAGCTCCTACAGCACTTAGCTTTCCCTTCTGAGTAGATTTAATAGAAACAGTTCATCTTGACAATATCAAATGAAAAATGGTAGTGTTTTGCTAAAGCATATTATTTAGTCATAGCCACATTCATAACACTGAAGCAATAGTGTCTTCCATGTGGTACAGAAAGTCAAAACTATTCCTGTAACTCAATAGGAAAAATAAGAGGTTTGCTTTGGGAAATTACTTAATGTAATTAAGACTAATTAATGGAAATTAGACTAAAATAGCAAATCAAATCCTTTCCCTTCCATAAGCACCTTGCCGTCTACCTACCTGTAAAGAAGTAATTCTGTCATAGTGAATTGTTGTCATCTCATTCTCTGTCAAAGCATTTCCAGTCTGATCATTGATTTCAAAGCCCGTGTAGAATTTAAGCATATCTAAAAGCTGAGACATCACGCATATAAATTAGTGGATTAACAATTAGACACTCTACTACAAACAAAAACATAATTTAAGAGGACAAATCTGGGCACTATGTACAAACAAGGGCTCCTCAAGGTTCCTGAAGAAGTAGACCAAGGAGTGGTATCTAGATTTTATACTTGGCTGATACCTAAACAAAATTATTTTGTGTATCTCACCTACAAGCCATAGAAATTACAGCACAGTCCACAACCAGTGTGGTTTCTTTTACATACTAGGACTTGAAACTGAAACTAATTGCACTAAGTTGACCTAGCCAGAGGTTCATTGAGACACCGAACCCAACTTACGGCTTGCTGCTACCGAAAGGGAGAGGTCTTGCTCCCTCCTGCCCTCTCTGGTGCCAGCTCCAGAATTCATCCTGCCTTTCAATGAGATTATTTTACTCAGAAGAAGAAAATTATTTACATGTGCTGCTGGCTTTGTGTTCCATCAATAGTGACCCTCAGAGAAATTGAAAAAAATGCCAGAGATGGGGGACCGTAAGCAGCAGGAAAAGCAGCTGAGATGCAGGAAAGGGGAGAGATCTTCAGATCCTGCCACAAAAAGAAATAAATATACTGCCTATGACTGAATAAACTGAAGGACAGTAGTGAAAAATAGGTTCACTGTAGAACAGTCTGAGGTCAAAACTAAGCAGAAGAATTCATTGGTGACAACTTCTGCTATATGTGGGGTAAAGCATGGCAGAAGCTGCACTGTTTTCTAGGTAGTATTTTTAAAAACTGTTCAAAAACAGAGCCAGGAATGTAAGAGCAGTCACACAAATAGATATAGGCAAGAAAGAACTACTGTCTGAAGGATTTAAATGAACATGTAGTTTGCATCCATAAGAAACACTCCTAAAAATACAATTGCTGTATTCAGAGCTGCATCAGAATCACAAAGTTATATTCAGCAACTTTGTATCTCACCTGGCAGAAGAGATGACCCTCCTTCTCTCTTTTAGCAAGACTGGACAGGTAACAGTGAACAACAAGATGGGAGTCATCCAACACCGTATTAAACCAGCGCCGCGTGGGAAGCAAAGCCTGTGGCAAACAACCTCATGTTAGTATAAGCAATTCTTCAAAATGTAAGAAATGCTGATTTATCATAATTTTGCACTTCAAGAAGGCATATCAAGATAGATTGCTACACAGTTATTTACATATCTAATACCCTAACAGAGGTTCTCATATTAAAGCAGCATTTATGTACATCGAGACACTGGTTTTATGCAGGTAGACTGCTATGAACACAGCCTTTTACAGGACTATATGACAAACTTGTCATTAGTGAGATTGCATCCTGCCAGTAACAAAAGTAAATTAAATAAAGCAATTGTTCTACTCCTAAGTGTCTACATAATGACTGTATACTACAAAAGGTACATGAAACTGCTGCAACGTTGTTTTAAATGTTTGTTTTCTATATTAATTTCTTTAATTTTAAGGTTATCTTTTTCAAGACTGCAAACTGCGTTTCTTCTAAATATGGTATGGTATCTTCTATTCATTGTAAGACACTCAGATCTAAGAATTTTTTAAATCTTCGTTAAAAATCTATAAAAGCTTTTTGCAAACAAAACAGAGATTATTTCTTCTCAACGTAAACAGCTGCAGCTGCTACATGGAGCAACTATTCAACAGTATACAGTAAAACACCTCAACAATTCAAAAGAAAAATGAGTTGTTCTCAATGGAATCTATGGACTGAATTTAGAAAGCCAAAAAAGCATCAACATAGTGCTTAGAACCAAGACGAAGAAAATAAAAGAACCTGTGGCAGAAAATGTTAATTTCCCTGCACAATAATCACAAAAAACCAAACTCAGAAAAATGTAAGAACTTTCCATTGAGTCATTCCTCTCAAATTATCAAATGACCAAGTTACGATGGCAGTCTATATACTTGAACATGAAACGAATATTCTGAAAAAGGCCCATTAACACAGTACATGCTACAGAGGCAAAAAGACTTGGATTTACAGCTAATTTCTCATTGGCTTGTTCCAGTCATCTAAACAGGCTTCATAAACAGTGTGAATTCTAACCTTCCCATAATACCTAGCGAGAACCAACACTAAATGTACTGCCTATAAGCATTTCAGTTAACAGCCAGACTTAACTTCAAATGCGTATTTTCTCTTATGAGAGGATATTATATCCATAAGACAACAAGAGGACAGTTGGCCTGTATGAGTTCAAGATGGAGCCATTTAAAAGGTCCCTGTGCTTACTGTTTCAGAAAACTGTCTTATTTCAGAACGTCTTCTAAACCTGAATTTATTTTAAATAATTTGCTACTCATGCAAGAAATTCTGCATCGATGTCTTTTATTTCTAATTCTGGTACTGTGAAGCTTAAAATCGTACCACTCTCTCAGTACCTTCTGAAGCAATTGCACAAAACCTTGCTTAGCCTCCTATTATTCTGTAGTAAACCTAGAGCACCAGAACTGTTACTTCTAAATAACGAATGCTAGTCAAACAGAAATATTTTGCATTTCAGAACTACTGACACTTTCTGGGACCATACCCTATAACACAAAAGATATTTTAAGTGACCTGTTATGCTTTGGGAAGATCACTCCTGGGTTATTCCTAGCACATCAAAGATTCACACGTTTTCATCATCTGCCAGAACTATTACCACTAGTCCAATTAACAAACTCTTCTTCACTGAGCAATTTAGGATCCTAGCTTTCAGTAACAGTTTATAAACATTACTAGTCAGATCCCAATGTGGGAGCACTTCTACAACCTCCTATTTACAAATGGAAAACCACTATTAAGCAATCATATGCACAACTGTGACATAATCACCTGCTAATTGAAATAAGGCTGTAATAGTGTCTTTATGCATTTAAAACCTAGAACAGTACACCTGGAAACAGGCTGAAACAATTTAATAACATACCTCAAGATCTAGCATGAGTTCAATGAATCTTTCGCAATAATGAACTTTGTCCATAGAAACAGGACCTAGACAAAAAGGTAAAATTTTTTGCAATTCATCCATACCACAACATATTTGTATTTGAACTATTCTTTAAAAATGTAATAAATGCTACTAATATACCAATATTAGCTTTTAACAAGATTTAAAAGTTGACTAGCACATTCTTCTCTTTTTGTGAAACAATAATTTCTTTCATTGCAACCCAGAAATTTTTTGGATATAAGAAAGTAATAGAACTAGAGTTTCAGAAGTGATTTTATCCACTCTGAAAAAAACTATCAACGTGACATACAAAAAGGCACACTTCCACAAGATACCAATGGCCCGCTAAGTTTCTCAAGAACTTTTAACTCTGGGTACTCAAAAATACCTATTTAAATGCTGCAATCAAGGTGTGTGCAAAAGGTCTTGACAATATTTAAAGGTACTCAGTGGTGACTACTAAGGAGCCTGTAGGCTTGCTGTGTCAAAACATCAAGTCTGCTTTAATTAATATCTATTTCCTAAAGCCTCTGAAGAACTGTTAATGTACATCTTCCTAAAACAGGTCTTGCATAATTGGGAAAACAGAAGGGATTGGTATCATTTCTGAGGAAGCCACAATACACAGAATTTCCCCTTACAGCTCAGTTAAGAGCTGAAGTTTGCTAAGAGTTTAAAAGCAAAAGCAGAACTCTGGGGAGCAATTTCACTCAAACTGTGCTGTACTTAGAGCACAATAAGCCTTTTTTTGTCAAAAGGCTAAAACCTTCCTGTGCAAACACTTTTCCTTTCTAAATCAGGCAAGCATATAATTTTCCTTGTCACAATGACTTATAAATCAAGTGCAGTCAAATCTTAGAGAATTTCACTTCACTTAGGCTTTTGTTCTTACCATAAATCAACAGTACTGACAGAATAGAGCCTTATGATATGCATTTATACCACCTGTTTAACAAGGCACCTAAGCATGTACGAAATGCTTTAATGCTGTAAGAAGGCTTTAAGCACACAACAAAGAATATCAGTACCCAGAAACATTATTTTTATTAAGTACACACTGAACAGAAGAAGAGGTTTAAAGTAGCTTTCTGCTATTTCATTTTCAAAGCATATACAAATTTGAATACTAATTTTGACATGAAATTCATGCAGACAGATATGGATTTCACTAAAATCCCATCCAGGTAAGGTCTTCAACCTCAGGTTAGTAGCCCAAAGAGTAGTTGCTTCAGTAAAGGAAAAGAGTTTAAAACAGATTACCAGATAACAAACTAACATAAGAATCACAGTTACCTGAGACAGGTATTGATTTCAGCACAGAAATGAATTTCTGAATGAGCTGAGAAAGAAATCTTCTCTCCTGATATGCTCTAAAATCAGACATATGACAAAAGCATTAGTATTCCTTAAACGCAGAATAGAAGTACATCATGTCTTTCACTAATACAAAGTTAGCTGCTTTAAAATTTATATAATGCTAGCAGGTTGCTTTGAAACACACCTAAGCTGCTTACATGATAACTTTTTTCTCTGTATGCAGGCAGACAGATTAGCAGTCTGTTTCTAGGCACAGAACTGATGAACAATCCATGTTTCTACTAAGTCAAAGAAGCATGTCACCACCTATATACCTTATCATGTTGCAACACAAAAATATTGGAACATTTAACTTTGGTGAGATACACACAAGTTTATTCAAATACTTGTCTAAGCTATTTGCTTAAGAGCTAAATATTTGTTAAAGGTAACGAAAAAAATACATGAATATTGTCTTTAAGATTTGTCTATAGCTTTAACATTTGGTATCAAAAACTCACTGATCAAGTAAAATACTAAGTTCCATAGCAGTATTTTGCATATATACAACTGGAAAACAAAACAGTTTCCAGGAGAACACATATGATCAATCTTTATTTGCCATCCTTCCATTTTTGTTTTTTGGTTTTATTTTTTTAAAAAAACGTGTATTTTATTGAAACAATGTATTTCAGCTGAAACACAATGAATGCATTAAGGGATTTGGATTTAACAGGAAAAATGGTTCCTGTAACATACCGCATTCTTGCCTCCTCATCCATTTTCTCATCATTTTTCTTAATTAGATTCCAGAATTTTCTTAGTTTTGGTGTCTTTTTCAGCTCTTGTTCCAGTCGTTTCTGAAAAGTTGAAATGTTACTCAGTTACTAAGAATCCTTGTCTTCACGAGAGACAAAAATACAATGCAGTCTTCTTATTAAAAAAGAAAAAATATATAACAAACGGAAATAAACAGCTGCCTCAGACTAATCTCAACAAGTATTACTGTAAAACAAGAATGTAATACTGCTAGAGAGAATCTAGCCAGGGCTAGATGTCAGCTCCATTCCCCAGTCCCTGTGATCTCTTGGCCTTGTCTACAAACTATAGCTTGAAGAAACTATAAGAAACAAAGTTTAGTTTTACGAAAAATTGCATAATCAATTAATAATTAAAATTACGTGGAAATTCGCAACAAACAAGAAAGAGAATTTTATCAAGGACACAAAAATATAATTCCCCAGCAATGAAGGCAGCTTTAAATATTAGACTTCTGTAACAGCATTCCACAAGAATTCACTTTACAGGACTTGGATAATGACTAGAAGATTGCTTTGTCAGTTTACAGTGTTATGCTTACAGGTTGTAGAGCCATCCACATTGGTAAGGAAATGAGCTGCTGCACCTGACTTCTGATCAAATCCACTTCCTGTTAGAAAGTTACAGACAGAAAATGTTTTGTTTTGTTTTTTAAATTCTTACGTTTTCTGGTGTGTCTGTCTTATAAAACACATCAATGCACATTACTATTTGACAAAAATATATACGTTGTTTTATTAGATTTCACAGTTTGCTAAGAGGAAATTGCACAAAAGCCCTATCCAGTAATACTTTAAAAGGTTGATGGCTTTTGCATTTTAGGTACTTTTCACGGATTCTGTCAGTTCTTAATACTTCAGCAGACACCCCATCTACGTATTCACAGCACAGAAGCTGATGAGAACTGATGTTCCTTCTTCAGTCATTTCTCGTTCTTGAACTGAATTTTCTTACTGTGCTTTTTCTATTTGTTTTTACTCTATTCTTTCTCTCCTGAAGCCCTTCATCTATTTATCAAGTTTCTCCCACTTCATCTGCGCTCTTCCCATTATCTGAAATAACTAATTTTCTCTATAATTTATGTAACTTCAACTGCTGTTTCAGACGTTCTCTCTCCACCTATGCCTGTGATCTGGATCTCCAAAGTTTTCTTTCTTTCCTAAACTACTGAAAAACTTCCACCAACACCTTAAATGTGTCTTCACAGACAAATACTCCATTCTCAGCATTCTGAAACTTCACACTTCAGTGCTCCTTACTTAAAACACTCCTGTGACTACCTTGTTCTGCATTTCACATAGAAGTGCAGCTTCTAATAGCAGTATGTTTTTACAAGCACCTTTTCACTGGTTTCCATATCATATTATATGAGAAACATGCTCTGCAAGCAGGATTCCATATAGTCACTATCAAACCCTTCCTTAAAACGAAGATCCGCTGTAGCATGGCCACTAAAGAAAAATACCACCTCAATAAACTATACATACAAGGTTCAGGATGCTGACTGGCTCCCATAATCATTCCTAATTCTAAAATCAAACCATACACTTTCTAAATTGTTTTGTCTGTGAGACATGATTTTGTTCATTACTTGTGCGGACCCTGATTTTGACTGATACATCTTGTCTGCAACGTAAGTAAAGAAAAAGCCCAGTAGCAAGAGAGGTAACAGTACTGTTTTCGTATAACAGATAATTGTAAATTATTCTCCATACTTGCTACTTAGGATCTATAACTGTGTTTTTACTATAGATGGAAAACACAACTCGGTCCAATGCCCTCTTAAAACTAACTCAAGAGAAGTGCAGATAGAGAAATTTTTTCACTTTCAAAACCAGCTTTGGGTAATATTTCTTTCTCAACAGTTAATGGAAATAATTTTGTGCAATTTCCCAGCCAAACTAAAAAGAGCACCATAGAGTAAGTAATCTGCTTTTAAGTGCAAAGCACCTTTTCAAATATAAACACGTTTTTTAAGCACCATTTTAATGGTAAGTCTGAATATATGCCTTTAAATTGCAGTAAGTGCCAATCCTCTGATTTTGAGTATCTTTTATGACCCTGTGTCAGAGAAAAGCAAACGTGATGAGAGAGAGAGAGCAAGAGTCAAAAAGAGGGATAAAAGCCCTCCAGTACCGTCTTCCTTACATGGGAATTTTGCCTCATCTGTCTCGCAAGAAGAAATTGCTCAAACTAAACTGCTATTAACACAGAACAGCATAAACACACTGGAAATATTACAGTTACTTTTAACATACCAAACTATTGAAGCAGTGATCAAGGAAAAGCAGCAGGACAGTCTGTTCATGCAGAGAGTATTCACTGTCATTTTCAACCAGCGATGCTTCCAGTATGCGTTTGAAAAAGAAGGGAAAATGTTCTGGCTTTTTTTTGAATGTCTAGGAATAGATGAGGAAGTTGATTTTGAGTCAGGTTGATATAAATAATTTCAATCTTCATTCACATAACATAGCTTAAGTTCTCTAAATCCACTTAAATCTACAAAAGGAAGGATTATTGTTTTCTCTGTTTCATTTATTCTGACCGAGCAGCACAAACAAAACAGATTAATGATATCCTCCTGACCAGGGATCCTCAGACTACGGGAACACTTGTAGTGGGACTACTGCCTTCTGTGTAGTCTAAGACAGGGGATGCCCGGGAAAAACTGAACAAGAAGCACGAGTGGAGTAGATTGTGCTGTGGGAGAGTTCAACTGGTGATCACATAGAATTACTGTAAAATGACACAGGTTACAAGAGAATTGGTAGATTTTGGCCGAAACTATGGCAGTTGTTTAGTGATCTGCAAAAGCAAGCAGGTAAAAAAACAGAGATCAACTATAGTTGTGGAACTCCCATTCAACTATCTCAGACAGAAAAAGATAAACCAAATCATCGTGGAGACAAAATGGTTTCTTTACAAGGGTGGTCATGTATCAAATAACAAATTTACCTAAGCTGTTTGGAAAGAAACATGCACCTGTCATTTTGCATCTAGTACATATGCCAGAACAAAGAAGGCACAGATATCACATAAGTTATTAATCCTTTGTGCTTTGCCAGCACTGAAGTAATGGCATTACTATCAGAGTAAGTGTGCTTCTGAAATAACACTTGCATAGAACTTCTAACTAGGCTCATGTTGTTGAGATGGCCTGTGAGAACTGGGCTGTTTGTAGAAGGACTAAATCATTTCTAAACCTATTATTACAAAAAACAGCACATATAGAAGCAGAACAAGAGATTGTATTAGTATAAAACTTCATGCAACAAAGCTACAAAATCATATTCACAGGTTTTATGCAAGACATTATTGGATAATACGTCAGACTTCCAGTGGTGCCTTCTTATATCCACAGATACAAAAATCCTTTTTTCTTTCAGTATCAGAGCAAGGACTTCTCTGCAAATGCCCGACTTTTGTCAAGTGCCAAAAAGGCAATGCTGATGATAACGTAAAGGCATCACAGAGCAGAACAAAAGACACACACACCAGAGGAATCAGGTGATTTTTTTCATCCATCCATTGCTTCCTCCAAAAAGAACACACACTTTAAAACACCATGAGACATTCCAGCTGAGGTACCATTTACTTTTAACACTATAAGCTTTGCTACCTTCTGTCAGTATAAGTGAGCAAGCTGCAAAAGCTGCAACTTGCGGATCAAAGTCAATTCTAGCTGTAATTGAAATTGGTTACCTCCCACGCAGGGACATTCTCTCTGAACTTCTCATTCACCATACAGCAGATTGACATTAAATATGCCTTACTGGACACCTCTGGAGAATAATTCATCCATAGGTAATTTTCAAGGTACTGGCTGTGAAGAGACAAAGAATATTTCATTAGTTGCTGCCACCCACATAATCTGTCACTCATTTGAAAGAGCAGTTATCCACAGGGTTTTTTTTCTCCTTCTCCTTAAAGCCATCTTTATAGTTTGTGAGTATTTCCTGAAGTTACCTCTCATCTTAGGTCACTGCAGCAAAACTTGTTAGACTCAGTAACTGCTGCAAGAGACAGGGTGTTTCTTATCAGGAAGGCACATTCACCAGAGAGTTTTAGAATCATAGAATCGTTAGGGCTGGAAGGGACCTTCAAAGGTCATCTAGTCCAACCCCCCTGCAAGGAACAGGGATATCTCCAACTAGATCAGGTTGCTCAGGGCCTCATCCAACCTGGCCTTGAACGTCTCCAGGGATGGAGCATCCACCACCTCTCTGGGCAACCTGTTCCAGTGTTCTACAACTCTCATGGTATAAAACTTTTTCCTAATATCCAACCTGAATCTACCTCCCTCTATTTTAAAACCATTACCCCTTGTCCTATCACAACAGGCCCTCCTGAACA